AGCACCGTGCCAGGGTCCTCAGCCGCCTCCACCAACTTCATGGGAAGGGAATATTCCCCACCCGATTCCTTTCAGACTAAGGAACTGGGCACCGAGCCCGTTACGGTCCAGGGGTTCGAAGGCTGGGCCCCCGAGGGTCTCGACAGCCGCCCTAGGACAAACAGAGTCAGGGATGACTAAGGGCAAGCCCATACATGGCCGAGGCCCAAGCAAGCAGTTGCTTGGGATGCCCTAAGTCGTGTCCGAGACCGGCAGGGAGGTCTCTGAATGGGATCCCACCGTAGGGAGGCACCGAGCCCCCAGGGCCAATCAAACAGCCCTGGGACCCACTAGAGAAGCCCTCTAGTACTTTTGGAGCGCGTCTCTGGACCGCTAGCTGACCCCTATCGAATGGGGCACGGGCCTCCACTCGGACTTACCCGATAACAGCTCACCGGAGGTGTCACTGCTCGCGCCCACCGAGGGTAGCCTGGCACACTCCACCCCTCCTTCCGAACGAAAAGGAGGCGCAAGGGCTGCACAAAAAAGACAGGGAAACTCCTGGTCGCCCTCTTGCTCCGAGCAGAGGCTCGGGGGCTCTTCCTGCAACCAAGCCGAGGCCCAGCGACCCAAACTCGCACTCGGGGGCTCGGCAAACGCGATAAAACGACTAAGAAACTAGGCACCGAGCCCATTACAGTCTAGGGGTTCGAAGGCTAGGCCCCCGAGGGTCTCGACAGCTGCCCCAGGACAAACAGAGTCAGGGATGACTATGGGCGAGCTCATATATGGCCGAGGCCCAAGTAAGCAGTTGCTTGGGACGCCCTAAGTCGTGTCCGAGACCGACAGGGAGGTCTCTGAATGGGATCCCACCGTAGGGAGGCACCGAGCCCCCGGGGCCAATCGAACGGCCCTGGGACCCACTAGAGAAGCCCTCTGGTACCTTTAGAGTGCGTCTCTAGACCGTTAGCCGACCCCTATCGAATGGGGCATGGACCTCCACTTGGACTTACCCGATAACAGCTCACCGGAGGTGTCACTGTTCGCCCACCGAGGGTAGCCTGGCATACTCCACCCCTCCTTCCGAGCGAAAAGAATGCGCGAGGGCCGAACAAAAAAGACAGAAAAACTCCTGACCGCCCTCTTGCTCCGTACAGAGGCTCGGGGGCTCTTCCTGTGACCGAGGCCCAGCGATCCGAACTCGCACTTGGGGGCTCGGCAAACGCGACAAAACCCCCCATTCAATAGGGAAAAAGCCCCTGGAAGAGTAAATCCACTCCTCCAGGGCCTCGGGGGCTACACCCGGCGGGTGCGCTCGCACGCACCCACCGAAGCATCGAGCACAAAACACAATCCCGACGGGAGCTGCTGCAAGCCAAGTCTCGTCAAAACCTCAGGGAGAGTGCTCACACTCCCCCCAAGGCTCGGGGGCTACTATCGGATACCATAAAAAGGGGTACCCTAAGCAAGAACCAAAAAAAATTGCTTAGACCTTGTAAATAACAAAACCAAAATACAACCGCAGGCAAACCAGCCACGTCCGAGGCCCGGCTGGACCGCCCGGCCCGCCTCGAACAAATATCCGGGCTCGACCGAGGCCCCACACCGCAAGGCCTCGAACGAGGTACCGGCTCGCCCGAGGCCCCACGACGCAAGGCCTCGGATGGGGTATCGATTCTCCGACTCGCCCGAGGCCCCGCGCTACGAGGCCTCGGATGAGCACCCAGTGACCGACTCGCTCGAGGCCGGCTCGGCATCAACCCCGTCATCGCCGCTTTGACCGACTTCTCTGACGGGACGTCACATCCAACTAAAGCGTTCAACCACTCCCACAACGCCAACCGCACGACGGCACGGTACGGCAGAGTGGCCGATGAGACAGAAGTCACATCAACGCCCTGCCATCCGGGACATGACAGGGCGGGGGTTACCGTCACCGGTTTTAAGATCGCGGCTCATGTGGCCGACGCCTGCGTGCTTTCTGTTGTCTTTGCTAACCCCTGCTCCAAGGACAGCGCGGCATGGAAAGTCACGTCCGGGTCCCTGTAGCCTCGGAAACGACGTGCAAGGCCAACTGCTCCCTCCGAGCCTCGGATACCCGCTTCCGGGCTCGGTGGACCAGCCTCTGCATCGACTGGGCCTCGGCTCTCTACATTGTCAACGCTCTGGGACCGGCACGTCGCCCGTAGCACGTGCCATGCCCTACGTCAGGCTGCAAGAGCTCCCACATCGTGCACAGGGCCTAGCTCCTGTAGCCTCGAAATCAGCGTACCCGCGCCATCGCATCAACTCGGCCTCGGCACTCCGCGCCGGTCAAACATACAGTGACCAGCACGTCTCCAACAGAAGAAGGCGCGCCTGCCACCACAGGAGCTCCCACGTCGCACAGGATCGGGCGTGACCGGCACGTCGCTCCAGTGCACGGAGGACAAGACCGCTCCACCGACCACGCCACCACAGTGACAAGCTTCAGGGCTCGGACATGCCGCCCCTGCCGTAGGACGCCACGTAGCAAATACATGTACCGCCCCTGTGCCTCCCTTCGACTATAAAAGGGAGTGACCAGGGCCGCTCCTAGGCATTGGATGATCACACACACAGACCCCCGTTCAAGCGACGGACAACAACACTCTGCAACCCGCACTACAATTCACAGAGGTCTGGGACCGGCTCCCTCTCTCGCTCAGCTTGTAAGCCCCTACTACAAGCACCTCGGTGCAAGGAATACAAGATCGCTCTCTCAGACTGGACGTAGGGCACCTATTGCATGAACCAGTATAAACCTTGTGTCTCTTTGTATCACCATCCGGGATTGGGAACACGTAGTACACTTTCACTAGTCGGTTGTGGACCCCCGGTCCAAAACACCGACAACATATGTTTTCATAGTACACCTATCTAGTCCCATTGACACTTCTCTCTAAAAACTTAGTCAAACTTAAGGTACCTTCACTTAGAAGACTAAGTGTCAATATTTTTGGGATGGAGAATGTATTTTTTAATTATAATTGTTAAAAAAGTGTTGCTACATTTATAATTTGTAATCAAAACTACCGTGGGAATCATGTCTGGTCATATGCTTCTGAAAAAATTAATGCTCAAACAAGTTTAAAAAAATCTTTTTCAAAGTTGTGAGCTTTTTTGTCAAAATTTTGTTTTCAAGTTGTACTTATAAATTAAGTGACACTAAATTAATGGTCAAACAAGTTAAGAAAAAATAGTTCGGTCCCAACCTGCGGCAATATACTCTACTCTGTACTCTCATGATCCTCTTTTGCCTGAAAGCAATGGATTTCATAGTATCTTAATTATTTGCATCGCATGAATCTACGAACAGAAATTCTCTAGATCCATATAACATCTTGCAATGAAATTGTTCCAATGAAATTGCTGATTATTTATCAAACGAATGGTTTTTCACGTCTTGTAGAACATGAAAGTTAATGCTCCCCTATGATTCAAAATAGATGGAAAATCAAATGAAATGTAGTATCACTTCTACCTAGCTGCGTGCTCAACTTCATAGTAACAACATAACAAACTCCTCTTCTTAAGATCATCGATATACAAACTAGGAAATTTAACTACTTTTTCCATGGGTATTTGTTGACATGAAAAATTAATTTTTATCGTTCAGAGTTTTTTTAGGGTGTTTTATCGTTCAGATAATGTGATGAAAAATTGATGAGCAGCCGTGGGCCGAAGGGCCCAGAGATTCTTACCTTGACCACATCTGGGCCCATGTCAGCCCATTAACATGCCGCCGTGCGGTTGGGCTGCCCCACTCGCATTTCTCGACCGACGCCTGATCCCCAACCGTAGACGATTACCACTTACCAGGCCGCCGGCGACGGCTCTCCGGCGTCCTCTCCTGGGCTCCTCGCCGGCGCCGCCTAGCGCGCTGTCAGTCGTCTAGGAAATAGCCGGCCATGGCCAGAGCCTACCCTTCACGGCGCCCAAGTGTGGCCACTGGTCGGGGGCTCGGGGCCAAACACTGGCGGCGGCACCCGGGCAGTTTGACTTCCCAAAAACTGGCCGGCTGTGTGGACGCGTGCTGTCTCCACCGTCCAGCTAACTGCCGAGCCGTGGTAAATATTCTTTCTTCTTTGGTCTAGGTGTCAATTCCTTAAGCTAGTTGATGTTTTAGTGGACGTTCTGCTGTGACCAGTCTCTAGATTTTGCTAAAGTGCTATATAATCTGTCATCATTTGGCCGTTATATGTTATATCAGAATTAAGTACATTTCTGGACCCTACCACTGATTCGGAACAAGTGAAATTTTACTAGTCTGTTTAGGAGTCAAGTGCTCATTGGTGGCATTCAGGTCTTGTGCCCCATCTGAGAAGTAAAACTGATGTATTCCCTTCTGAATTCATTTCAGCACTTGAGCTGCAATGGGGATTTTAGCTGCAACTCAGCTGTACAATAAAAATATCATTTCAACCTTACGAAACTAACAAAACTCCAAAAATAATTGGCTATATGAGAACTGTGCCTGTCGGGCAGTTTTTTTTCTTCAAAAGGGCAGCAAAAGCTGTACCATTTCAGCACTTATTTTCATATATTCCTATATTCTGCCAGTCAGACAGTGCAAGTCCAGTTTTAGGTACAATGCTATGACCCACTTCCACCAGTTCGAAATTATATCATCATACAACAGTAGCGGTAGTGGTTTGTAATATCGTCATTTATAGCTTCTATTTGGTTCTATTTTTTCCACTTGATATGTTTGTTTTTATTGCTAATTCGAATATCCAATTTCTGAAATTTTATTACCTAATAAACCTTTTCCTTGTAGGTGCTAGTTTAAATGCTGATGGAGCCTTACGATTCCCTGTGTTCCATACAGGTCATCCATTGGTGCCTTCATGGATCCAGTCAGCAAACATACCAGATGCCACTGTCATAAGGGACAACAGCCTGCATGAAGTTACCTTTTTTTGGTGACCATCAACCTTGGGACACCAGCTGTTCATAACCTTGTGGCAGTTGATACTGGTTCCTCTCTCTCTTTGGTTCAGTGTCGACATTGTGACATCCACTGCTATTGGCAAAGTGGAAAGGCAGGACTGATACTCAACCCTTTTAAGGCCTCAACTTACCAGAATGTGAAGTGCTCAACTGAGGTCTGCCGAGCCATGCACAAGAACTCTGGTATTTTTTCTGGCTGTGTCCACGAGCAAGATGCTTGCCTCTACAGAAAAGCTCACTCTTCCAAATTCCCTCAAAAAAGCTCACCCTTCCAAATTCCCTCAAAAAAGCTCACCCTTCCAAACAACTACACCATTTATGATTTCCTTTTTTTGTTGCGGTGCAGATAATCTGTATAGACAAACTATAGAGCCTTTTCTTTCTGCTTTCCTAGTGATCATGAGAATGAAGGGTTTCTATCATTTGGACCATATATTCGAGATGCAAAACATATGTTGACTAGATTGATCAGTTATGGCCATTTACCGTTCTATGCTATTCAACAGCTTGACATGACAGTCAATTGGATACTGCTTGAAGCTGATCCCCATATCTATAGTACAACAATGACAATAGTTGATTCTGCCACTACCTATACATTTATTTTATCTCTAGCATTTCCTGCACTTGACAAGGCAGCGAGAACTACAATGCTAGCTAAAGGATATACGCGGGGAAGCATTAAGGACAAGATTTGCTTTGTTACAACAGGTGAACTGACAGACTGGAATGACTTACTAACAGTAGAGATGAAATTTGGAATTTCTGCCATGGTGCTACCAATGGAGAATGTGTTCTATGCGAATTCAGACGATGATATTTGCTTGACATTTCACTATTTCAGCCAGATGATGACAGTGTAAAGGGGGTTCAATTTTTGGGGAACAGAGCAATGAGATCATTTAGGGTTGTTTATAATGTCCAAGACAGGATATTTGACTTTCAAGCTGGTGCATATTGACAGAACAAAGGTGAGTGCCCCCCCTCCCCCCCTCAAAAAAAAAAAACCTAGTACTTGTGCTTCAGGGGGTAGCCCTTGTTTTCGAGAATTTGTTTTGAGGAAAGAACACTTTATTATTGACACAGCAGTTACGTATTTTGTAAAGATGCAGGCTTCTCTAGTTTGGCGCTTAATGCTCTATTAAAGTTTAGTCAGCTTTCTTGTCAAGCTATTAAAATTGTTTTGGCTGTCTATTTTAGAAACATGATATGGCATTTTGTCGCACGTCATTTTGCATATCACAGTTCTTCTCTGGTTTGGCGCTTGATGTTCTGTTAAATTTGAGTATCGAAACTTTCCTGTTAGGTTGTTATAAATTGTTTTAGCTGTCAATTTTGGAAACATGTACAGCATTTCATCATGTTCGGATGTGCCAACCTCGGCATTAAACCTTTCAAAGAAAAGGGGAAAACACAACAATGACATTAATAAATATTCTTGATGTGATTTACTAAATGGCAAACCAAGTTCGGAGCTATTCTGGATATATTTATCATGTTTATATACTCTATTTGTCTTAGAATTACCTTCATTAATTCATTTCTTTGTGGCAAAACACTAAACAGAGCCCAAGGTTGATGCTCCATATAGCTTTTGGGTTGCTCACTTTACATATAAATCTGTTGGCTTGTCTCCACAAGAACAAATTAGTATCTCTGAAAGATACGACTGAACTAGTATACAATTATTTAAAATTAAACCATACTCAAATTACTCACATTTGTTTTCCTTCTATTTTTACATCCCCATCCACAGCAGTGCAATTACTAAAGCAAAACATTTGTAACTGCTCGTGGTACTTGCAGATTCAAACTGCATAACAATCTTTTCCTGAACATGATAACTGATTAAAATTTCTTTTCATTAAGTAGCTTCAGGTTACATTGAAAAAAAGTAGCTTCACAGCATGCTCTTGTCTATGTCGATTTTGGGTGCTTAGCTTTGTACAAAATAATAGACTCTAACAAGTAGTAGCACAAAACTAAATCATATTAATAGCAGCAGAAATTTTCCAACAAAACATTGCAAAGCATTTCCACAACACTTTGGGAGTTCAGATTTATCTCCGTTCATGTACCTTATCATTAGAAACGGCCTGACACTCTATCTTGAACACACTGCACAACGTGATCCAATCCATCTTTTTCTCGGGTTTATCGGTTTTATAGTGAAAAGTGGAGGGCCTTGTGACTTCGCCAACGACTTCCCCATTAGGTAGGATTTTTTAGCCCAAGCCTTTATTTGTTGAGGGAAACGAGTCCAATTTGAAGTTGTTTATGTTTATAACGATCCGGCCTTTCTCTCGGAGAGAGGCTCAGTGAAATAGACATGTTTGTGAAGATGCGGACTACCGCACCTAGGCAGAAAGGCCCTCTGAAGCTTTTACTTGTTCCTCGGGATTGGCTTTGGGCTTTTCCCTGCATGCGGCTTAGGTGGAAGGCGAAGAAGGCCCCTTCCAGGGGGCCGAGCCATCGATGAGATACCACTCTAGAAGAGCTCGGATTCTAACCTTTGTGTCGGACCAGCGGGCCAAGGGACATCTCTTGTGTAGATAGTTTTATGGGGCGAGGCCTCCCAAAAAGCACACGATACTACAAAAGCACAATAATCTTGAACTATCATATCGCACACCTCCACAATCAAATGAATCAAGACAAATACGCTTTGGTTTACATAAAATCGAGTCCAAATTAACCTCGCACATGCATCATTTGTGAGTTTGATGTTTGTCGGTGGTGCTTGGACCCTTTGTGTTAGAAAAAAGGAGGCGAGAATGAAAGGACACTTTGTTGGTATAGGCTTGAGAAGTAACAACAATGGCATTTAGAAATATAGAATAATATGTCATACGTCTCGATGAGAGGCCCCCAACCTAGAGCTATTGGGCCTACCGAGGCCCAAAGGAGGGCCCCGGCCGGCCTCTACCAGCCCAGTAGGCCCAGAGAGGGTCTTGGCAGAGAGAAGGGCGTGACGCCTCACGCCACCCTCATCCGCTCATCCGGAAAGATTAGATTAGGAAAATAATTAATACGTTACGAGTTTGGTTTGTTTAGGAAAGGAGAATCCAATCTATAAAGATATCTCCCGTAAGTTGCTTGGAACTCAAATCCTATAGGGACTATAAATATAGGAGGGATGTAATCAATCTAATCTAAGCAAGAATAGAGCAACTGCTCCTTCCTCTATCCCTGCCGTCGCCCTCCCCTCCCCTGCGCCGACTCCCTCTCCCTTCCCCTGCAGCCACACCACCCCTCCCTTTGCCCTAGCCGCCGCCAGCAGCAGCCCTCCCGGGAAGGGCACTTACACTGGTATCTCGGAGATCAATTCGATCCCACACCACCCATGGCAGCCAACACCAACACCGCCGAGATGAAGGCCCTGTTCGACACCTTCGTCGCCGACCTCCACAAGCAATTCGACGGCGTCAAGGATCAGTTCGACACCATCAACAACCGCCTGACGACAATCGAGCAAGGCGGTCACATTGACCAGGCCGCTGCTACAGCTCGCGCCCAACGCGAACACGAGGCCACTACCACCAAACTGGAGGCCGAGGCCAAAAAGGCCATGGAGGAAGCCGCCCGGGCTTTCCTCAAGGTGAAGAAGGAATCAGCAACGTCATCCGCAATCCCTGAGATTGTAGATGACCTGGAGGGCAAGCTCTTCGACAACCTCATCAAGGAGGAGCCCCCCCAAGTTGAATCCTCCACCGCCGTACCCGCACCACGGGACAGCACCAGGCTCCTTCCCCGTCCTGACGCCACGCATCCACAAGCTGTCGTTCCCCACGTTCGATGGCAAGGAGGATCCATTGCCATGGATCAATCACTGCGAGCAGTTCTTCAGGGGCCAAAAGACCACGGAAACTGACCAAGTCAGGTATGCATCTTATCATTTGACAGGTGGTGCACAACAATGGTATATGCGCCTCACGCAGGACAAGGTAGTGACAGACTGGGCGTACTTCGCCCACTGCGTCAACGAACGCTTCGGCCCCCTAACCCGACGTAACCCACTGGGCGAGCTTGCGTCCCTGCGTAAGACCAGCACCGTCGACGACTACACAGAGCGCTTCCTGGCGCACGTGGCTCACGCTGGGGCTCTGGACGAGCAGTAGCAGGTCAACATCTACACCGTTGGGCTCCTCGAACCGTTGAAGACGGGCGTCGAGCTCCAAAATCTGCAGGACATGGAGATGGCCATATCCCTCGCCCAGGGCATACGAGCGACGTCTAGCCGTGGTCGCGGATGCCAGCAAAGCGTCGGCCACCAAGCTGGCAATCCGACCATTGGCTCTCAAGGCGCCTCCACCGACAACTCCGACATCGGCTTCTACACCAGGCGCACCACCAGCCGCTACACCGCGCCCGTTCAAGCGCCTAACCGCCGAGGAGATGGTGGAACGTCGGCGCTCGGGGCTCTGCTTCAACTGCGATGAACCATTCACCCGCAGCCACAAGTGCAAGCACCTCTTCCACATCACGGCTGTCAATGACTACGACAACGATGACATCGACAACAGCCTGCTTATGATGATCGGCCAGACGCAGTCCGCGGTCCAAGGCTGCGCTCCGATGTATCTTTCAGGTGTGGTGTCAGGCACAGGCGTCCACATCTTGATTGATACAGGCGCCACCCACAACATCATCGATATCAACGTTGCCTGGCTCATCGGGCTCCTTGAGCAGCACATCGACACCACCATCCTCGTCGGCAGCGAGAACAAGGTCTCGTGTCGGGTGGCATCATTAAACGTACCACTCCGCATTGATGCGGAGATCTTCTACATCGACGCCTTCCTCCTCGACATCAGCAATGACATCGACATCATCCTGGGCACGCCATGGCTGGCCGGCCTTGGACGGTTGATGTGGGACTTCTCCACCATGGAACTCCAGTACTACCACAACGGTCACCCCATCTCCTTCACCACCTCTCAACCTTGACGCTCGCCACCGAGTCATGCCAACCCCACCGCCGATCCGGCGGGCGCCACGAGCTCCACCTTCACCTCCTCGCAACATGATGAACTGGGCAAGCCGGTCTCGACGCCCCAACACTCTGGACCACGCCAGCACCATCGACGACGTCTTCGCCCATCTACGCCGAGCCATCTTGCAACAGCAGGAGCTACGCCACCTCGCTCTCGCCGTCAACAACGGCACAACTGCTCCAGCCTGGGAGCTAGATCGAGGACTACTCTTCTTCGACAGATGCTTCTACATTCCAGAAAAGATCGCCACTACTACTACGATCTTCTGCAGGTGCTACTTCGCGGGGGACCAGTAAACCTGGCGCTCCTAGAACTCGGTTGCCACCCATCTCCAACGGCACCCGACCACAATGCCGCACCAACAGGCATCCTGCTAGGGCGCCTTTGGCCACAGGGCACGGTATCAACCACCACAGTGATCTTCATCGACACCCTGGGTCATCAGCTCCTCCGCGTCGACAACGTCGACATCGCCCTACGCTCCAACTCCAACCTTCATCGCCTCTCGCCAGACGAGTTCGACATGGGCCACTTCATGTTTGGCACCATGTTGGACTTGATGACGACGCCATCCACACGCTCCAGCGCTACAATTTGGCGCCACGTTCCAACCTACTTCGTTCCCGACATCACCAACAGGATCCACAACTTCATCGCGTCACCACGGGATGTGCTCCACTTCACCATCAACACCGCTGTTCATCGACCTCTCCTGGTGGCAGCACGCCAGACGACGGGATCAAGCAGAGGTGCCAGACCATACAACTACTACTTCTACGGCTACATCGGCAACCTCCTCTACTGCCTGGAGTTCGTCCTGGAGCGCACGCGGGACAACATGATACGAGCTGCGTGGTCATCTCCTTGCTCACATTGAGGCCATTCTATCAGGACAGGATCTACCTCCCGAGGGCGTCAACGAATGGACTTGGCTTCAGCGCGAGGACGTGCTGAGTGGAGAAGGGGGGAGTGATGTCATACGTCTGATGAGAGGCCCCCAACCTAGAGCTATTGGGCCTACCGAGGCCCAAAGGAGGGCCCTGGCCAGCCTCTACCAGCTCCAGTGCGCCCTAGGAGGGCTACGCACGCCAGGACAAGGGGCGCCGACGCCCCCGCTGCCACCCTCATCCGGGAAAGATTAGATTAGGAAAATAATTAATATGTTAAGACGGCCTCACTCGCGGCGCGGCCTCACTTTTTGGTGGCATCGACTGGGCGACGGCCGTCGCCGCCTCCTCCCTGTCCAGGTCTTCGTCGGTCCCTTGGTGTCTGTCCCTTAGCCTGGTGTTCGTCGGCCCCTCGCCATTCGCCGGCAACGAGCACCCACTAGGTATGCCCACCCCTTTGCTCTCCCTTGAAACCAAGCACCCAAACTCTAGCTAACGTAACCTATTTGGGTTTTTGTGCTCGGATCTCATCTAATTACTAGTTTCTACATGTCCATCCTACTAATGACTGTTTTTGTGTGGTTTTTTTAGTGCGAAGTTGTATTTGATAACACTTCAGAGCGTAGAATTTGCTCAGCTGCTGAGATTCTGTGGAGCCACTAGCAAGATCTTTTTTTCTAATGCGCTTTAAGGTTTCAGACATGCAATTAGAAGTTTATTCAAGAGTAGCACCTCAAAAGAGATGTGGTTTTGTGAAAGAGATAGGCATTAGACATTCATTAGCTATTTTGTTGTTAGTTTTCGTGGGCCTGGTGATATGCTAAACCATACAAGTCTGTCTGGTTAGTTCTCCATATCATTAGTAATCAACTGCGTGTTTTTCTTTTATAAAAGTATTTTTTAGCCGAAACAGTGTTTTCCTCTCACACCAATTAGCCGGAACAGTGTTTTGGCTTGTTTTTTCAGCGAAGCGAATTGGGCCGTTGAGTTCCCTCACCTGCCAGACAACCTTTCGACGCCGGTGTCTTCCGCACCGCTAACAATGCCGACTACCAATGCTCCATCTATCGCAAGATCTTCGCTTTCATGGAGCAAGCTCGGCTGAACGCCGTGTCCATGCGTGCCGCCGCCGAGGCAGCTGACATCATCGCGGAGCTCATCAAGAGGATGCTGCAGCATCAAGTGAGGCTGTAGGCCGCGCGGGGGATTCATGAGGAACCTGGCTCTAGAGGCAGAGGCGCTTTCGTCACCTTCCGGCCGACCGAGGTGGTGCGACTTGCCGGTAGCCACGCGGATGCCGGGCCCCGGAGCCCGACGTTGCTGTCGACCTTCCGGCCGGTCCCGCCCCCAAGGTATGTGCCTTTCTTCGAATTTGCCGGTTTGATTCACTCGAAGAATTTATTTTGTATTACCATCAACAGTCATGACAATCATTGGCATTGTTCTACCACTGTGGCTGCTGAGCGATTTTCATTTTACCTTCAAAATTGCTAGCATTTTGGTTTCTGTCAAGTTAAGTGTATAGGAAGCCTTTGTTGTTGTTTACTTTTGCTTGCTAAAACGTGCCTGCTGCCAAACAAATCTCAGCAATTCTGGTGCTTATATTCAAGTGTAGTTCTTATAGTCAATAAATAGAAGGCAAGGCTTTAGGCCTGCTCGGCAGGTGCTCGACGCAATGCCTAAAGAGATGTAAACTCACCATAACAAAGCCAAGGTAAGCACACTCAGTCGAAGCCAGGGAACCAATCACAATCTAACTGTCAAACCTAGCCAGGCGAGTTTAGACCACAAACCAAACAAACCCATTGAGACCGGTCTAAGTTGAGTAGCTAGGCAACCAATCACAACCGTATAACTTATGACCACATCCAGCAAAAGATATTTTTTTAATCCACGCCTATTTAAATTCGCTTCCATGGGGAGTCGAACCCAAGATATGGGGTGCTACATGAGCCACACTAATCAGTTAGGTAGCAGGTCTGTCTGCGCTGAAGAATATGAATAGCAGCAGAAATTTTCCAATAAAACATTGCAAAACGTTTTCACAGCACTTCAGGAGTTCAGATTTATCTCTGTTATTGTACCTTCCATCAATGGAAACAGGCTGACCCTACAGCTTGAAAGACACTGTACAACAACATGATCTGACCAAGCCATGTACTTCACAAAAGCAAAATGAGCTTGAACCATTGAACTGCACACCACCACAACAGAATCAATTAATACAAATGCGCCTGGTCTACCTTAAATCAGAGTTTAAATTAACCTCGCACATGCATGATGCATCTGCTGTAAGTTTGATGTTTTGTCAGGTGGTGCTTGGACCCTTTTTTGCAAGAAAAAAGAAAAAAAAGAAAGAGAGAGAGAGAGAGAGAGAGAGAGAGAGAGAGAGAGAAGGAAACTAGAGAATTACCTTCTTAATATGTGTTTTGCTTGTGCAATCAGTTGGCGCTATCGGTATGCAGGCTTGAGTACTAACAGCAATGGCATTGAGAAATATATATAATACCTCAGAATTCTCATTGCAAGTCAATGATACCGGAGTTTGGGTACCCAAACTCCATACTGTAAGAGTGTTCACATGTGCACAATGCACACAGCAGACAGCACACGCCCAAAGCAAACTGCATCACAAAACCTGAAGCACACATGTAGACCTTGAACATCTCTGCAATGATCGAATTAAGATGGATGAGGAATTAGGTTAGCCATGAATCTGCACAAGGCAAAAGGGCACCAATCGTCAGAGTTTAACTAACTCACCAGATGAAGGGGTAATGGCCATCGGCTTCCCCAATCCTTAGACGAGGGATGTGGGAGATGAGATGCCAGTCCTTTCCCTTCCTTCTCTTGCAGCACCACTCCAAGACCAGGACAGCCAAAGATATTCAGTATGTGCGGAGCGGTGGGGCCTTTAATCCACGTTGGCAAGGATTTCATGTGCCGGCAATGCGTAATCGTAAGCTCTTCAAGGGAGGTGAGGCAGCACAAAGAATTAGGAAAGGAAGTCAGGAACGGCAACCACGATATCACGAGTTTACTTAGAGAGTGGAGCTCCCCCCAGCGATTCGGGCAGTTGGCCAAGTGAATCGCAGTATCCTACTCCGAGTTCCTGGAGGTAGGTGAGGTGCCCCAATGACTGGGGAAGGCACGTCAGCCTCGGCAAACCCAAAATCTTGAATATGCGTAGAGAACTTTGGCTGAAACTGGCTGAAAAACACTGTTCCGGCTGAATTGTTGTGAGAGAAAAACACTGTTCCGGCTGAAAAAATAAGCCGAACAAGCCAAATTTAAGACAAGCGAACGGGGCCACAATCGGGAAGTTGGGCAAGTGCATCACAGTATTCTATTCGGAGCTCCTGGAGGGAGGTGAGCCCCCTCAATGATTGTGGAAGGCTGCTCAGCCTGGGTAATAACTCGTTGTGTAGCTTTTGTAGAGAGTGGAGCTCCCCGAGACATTCTGATAGCTGGTGAAAGTCACGACATCTTGTTATTTTGAGATTTGTGAGTGAGGTGAGCATCCTGAATGATCGGGGGCGGCTACTTATGCCATCACAATCACCAATCACCAGAGTCTCTAGTGACGGAGAGCAGAGGTCCCCCACCCACCCACTGTAAAAAATAACCAGTGATTTGAGGACCTTGAGCGGCTGCATTGATGGAGCAGGGCGCAAACTACCGCACCCTGAAATGACCATCGTTTCTAGATACCGTAGCTCCCACAGCCACACGGGACAGCATACAGAGAGCAGAGCACGATGAAATCCTTAGGGATCGGAGGGATGCAAGGCTCCGCACGCTCTCTGGCAGCTCGGTTAGGCCCTTGCTGCTCCAAATCTCCAAGGACTCCAGTGCCATCAAGTGTTGCAGCAGCTCCCATCGACATCCAGATCCGTATGACGCTGCTACCAGTTGAAGTTTCTTTAGGCGGCTATAACCAAAAGAAGGTAATGCTGGCACTCCCAACAGCTGCACATAGCCATTAGCCAAACGTAAGTCCTTCACCAACAAAGGAAAGTATGGCATCACCATCAGTTTGGGACACTCAAATATACTTAGAACTGATAGACGATTACCAATCTCCAGTTGCCCCCCTTCCACATCAGCCAAGCTCCCCTCTGCTACCATCCAAACCACGCTCAAACTTGGCATTTCATTCATAACTAACTCCAACAGCGAAGGAAATGGACCTCCGCTTATGCTTTTAAGAGCAATCATTTTTTCGAGCACAAGCTTCTCCAAACAAGGCAACTCTGTTAGCCCCTGCAGACGCTCCAGTTTTGGGAAATCTGATAGTTCCAACTCGCTCAACAGTCGGAAGCGAGGAAGCCCTGCTACTTCCGCACCAATGTGCTTTAACATCCACTGCGTGCATTTCTGACCTTGATACCTGACAATTTTTAGACTTTTAATTCCAGGTGGTGGTCCCAATCCTTCCAGCTGATTCTCAGAGTTCACCCCCACATTACTCTCAGAGTAGTGTCAGTCTCTGTAAGTTTGTCTTCTGCTTCAACCATTCCTTGTCTGCAACATCTGGGTCCACACCATGTGCAATTCCACGGATAGTTAGTTCCCCACTGATCTTATTAATATTTTCAAGCTCCGAGATTTGTGCATAATTTTCATCCTTTCCAACAACAAATAGTCCCAGCTTTCCTAGTCGAGTAAGCTGCGCAATCCCTTTTGGAATGCCTCGTAACTTTCGACATTCTTGCAGGTTCAGAACAACAAGCTTCTTCAAGTTCCCTATGCCTTCAGGCAACTCTACCAACTGAGAACAGCTATGAAGGTCCAAACACTCCAGATTCTCCAGTGCAGTGATACTTGATGGTAGCCTCTCAAGTTTGGTACGACCTAGTCTCAGTACCCTTAGCCTTTTATTTCTGCTGATAGAGCTGGGTAGCGTATCACTAGAGTCTGCAGAGACGGAGAGCAGAGGTCATCCACCCACCTACTGTTAGAAATATCCAGTGCTTTGAGGGCCCTGAGTGGCTGCATTGATGGTGCAGGGCTCAAACTACCGCAGTCGAAAAAGCTCATCGTTTCCAGGTAACGGAGTTCCCCCAGCCACTCCGGCTGCAAGTCCGGAAGCATACGAAGAGAGCTGCAGAATGAGATGCGCAGAGTTCGGAGGGATGCGAGACTCCGCACGCTCTCTGGCAGCTCGATTAGGCCATCGCACGACCTAATCGCTAAGGACTCCAGTGCCGTCAAATGTTGCAGCAGCTCTCATCGACACCCAGATCCGTATGATACTGCTCCTGGTGGTGGTGCCATAGCATTTAGTTCAAGTTCCTTTAGGCAGCTAAAACTAAAAGAAGGCAATCCTGCACCACTGGAAGGCAGTCCCAACAGCTGCAAGTTGCTCCACCTCAAACTCAAGTCATTCAGCGACGACGGAAAGCATGGCATCACCATCAGTTTGGGACACCTTGATATAGCTAGAACGGATAGATGATTACCAATCTGCACTTGTCCTCCTTCCACATCAGCCATGCCCCCCTCTGTTACCATCCATACCACGCCCAAACTTGGCATTCCACCCATGATGAATAACTTCAGCAGCGATGGAAATGGACCTCCGCTTATGCTTTTAAGAGCAGGCATTCCACTGAGCATAAGCTTCTCCAAACAAGGAAACTCCGGTAGCCCCTCCAGTCGCTCCAATTTTGGGAAATCTGATAATTCCATCTCGCACAACAGCCGAAGCGAAACATCCTCATCCACTCATGGGATTCCTGACCAGAATACTGGACAATTTTGAGGTTTTCAATTCCAGGCGGTGGTTCCAACTCCATCCAGATGACTTTCAGAGTTCACCCCACATCACTTGCACAAATAAGTGCCAGGCTCTGTAAGTTTGTCTTCTGCTTCAAACATTCCTTGTGTGCAACATCTGGGTCCATACAATGTCTAATACCATGGATAGTTAGTTCCCTGCTAATCTTATTAATGTTTTCAAGCTCTGAGATATGTGCATAATTTTCATCATCCTCCCCCATAACAAATAATTCCAGCGTTTCAAGTCGAGTAATCTGACCAATCCCTTTTGGAATCCCTCGTAACTTTCCACATCCTTGCAGGTTCAGAACAACAAGCTTCTTCAAGTTCCCTATGCCTTCAGGCAACTCTATCAACTTGGAACACCAATGAAGGTCCAAACACTCCAGGTTTTCTAGTGCCGTGATACTTGATGGTAGCCTCTCAAGTTTGGTACGACCTAGTCTCAGTACCCTTAGCCTTTTGTTTCTGCTGATAGAGCTGGGTAGCGTTGCAACCTTCTTACAACCAAAAAGTTCTATGCTAGAAATCATGACACAATTGCCAATAGAATCTGGCAAACTTGTTAGACAGAAACAGTAGGACAAGTTGACCACTCTCAACTTCTTCAGATTTCCAGTGGATTCAGGTAACTTGACAATATCACTTGACGTTACATGAAGAGCTTGCAGACTCCAAGTTTCTGAAATAACCTCAGGAAGTGTTTCATATTTCAGTCTTGACACGACAAGTGAAATCTCATCACCCAAAATGGATCTGGCAAGATCATGCACCAAATCATGCATCTTACATATAACTTTCCCATCCACTTCTTCCTTCACATATTGTATAAAGTACATTTGCACAAGATCACTAAAGTAGTCATCGCCAATATATTCCAAGTAGTTAACACCACATTCTGGGATCATATCATGAGCAATCCATTGGTCAATCAATTGGTCTTTATCAATCAAGTGACCTTTAGGAAAAATTGAACATATTGTGAAACACTGCTTTAGATGAGATGGCAAGTTAAAATAGCTCAACCACAAGCAAGCAGATACTTGACGTTCTTTACCCTCAACATTTAATAAATTACTCTCTTTTATGGCATGCCATTGTTCTAATCGTTTCTTGACACGGAGGACACCTGCAAGAACTTTAATTGCTAGCGGCACACCACCGCACTTGTTCACAATCTCTTTACCAACTTCTTGAAATTCAAAGTTCAAATCTTTCACAGCATTTCTGAAGCTTTGCTGAAATACTTGCCAGCTGTAATATTCGGATAAGGATGGCAAATTGATTAGTGCTGTAGATTCAACTGCGTCAGCAACATTTCTACTACGAGTAGTGAGTAGAATCTTGCTTTCTGATGAACCATTCTTCACAAGAACCATGAATTCTCCCCATTTATTATGGTCTTCATTCCAAACATCATCCAATACAAGCAACAACCTACTGTTGGTCAACTTGTCTGAGATTTTATTTGCCATATTCGTCAAAGAAAGGCCTTCAGACTTCTCATTAGGAATAGCGTCAAATAGCTTCTTGAGAACTTTTTCAACATGAAATTCCTGAGACACATGAACCCATAGTCTAACAGTAAAATGATTCTTTATTGTTTCTACATCATTGAAAACCAACTGAGCTAGGGCAGTTTTCCCAGAGCCACCAAGTCCAACTATAGAAACTGTATTGATTCTTTGTTGGTCATCTGTCTCTAGCAGCTTAGATATTGTTTGGTGCAACTCTTGGTCTCTTCCGATCACTGCTGCCCCATCCATGAAGGGCAATGTTTACCTATTCACAGCTGTATTGTTTATATAGCTAGCAGGATCATGGCCAACCACTGAATTCAAAATAGCCATTTGCTTCACAATGTCATCAAAGGTCTTCTTAATTTTCTTTATATTTTTGGCTGCCTTGCATTGAAATACAAATGCTTTTGGTTGTGTGTGCAGGTATCTTGACAGAAAACCACTATCCGCTTCATATTTTTCAGCCTTCAGCTGGAACTCATCCACAACATCATCAACCTCGTAAACAGCTTCTTTCAACTTTTTGAGCGATGGAGCATCCCCCATTGCTCTGTCCCCTGCAGATTCCAGCCGGCTATTGATCTCCTGAGCTAGATCTTGGAGTTCCCGGAGGTCCTCTTTCACACCCACTATAGAGCTGTACTCGAAGACCAGTGGAGCTCACTTGTTCCCCACAAGCTTCAACATTCCAGATACTCAGCAGCTTCCATACCAACCCTGTTTCTGTAAGCGCCCCCTTTCACACAAATTTCCTATAAATTGAATTTTCCAAATAAGCATGCTTTCTGTAAAGCAAAAGAGTCCTGTATACAGTGCTAGACTGCTAGTACGTTTCTTGTGCAATTATCTGTTTCCCATACCTTACCTGCGCAAACAAGCGTAGCCAGTAGCTGCCCTTTAGCCTCTTGATGAATGCTGGTGAAGTGCTTCTTAATTTGCAGGCAGGCACTTGCAGGGTTCAAGGAGACGAAAGGTGAGAGAGATCATGAATTGTCATGACTCAGGAACACTTGGTAGGACTAAAGGAGAGCCTGAGAACAGATGGAATATTGTAGGTAAGGACGAAGGTGAAGTCTTGCCTTGAATCGAATAGAGAAAGGAAAGTTGAATAAGTTAACGAGAGTAAGATGAACATATATACCAGAGCACCGAGTACAGAAGAATCAGTTAGCGTCCTTCACTACCTGTAAAGAGTTGCGGAAATTACTGGTGTACGTATAACCAGAAAGTGTAGTGAGCGCTGGTGTGTAAACTGGATGTCATATTCTTGGTTGTAAGTATAGTAATATAATAGTGTAAATAATACCTGTATCTTATGTTAGTAAATAATGCAAATCAAGATCGAACACGAGACACAGATTTTTACGTGGAAAACCCTTGCGGGAAAAAACCACGGGCGCCAACCGGCGATCTTCACTATATGGAGAGAGTTTACAGAACGCAGGGAATACAATGAGTCGTCAGCTCTTCCCGTGCGGCTTACAAGATGTATTTAAATAGGACGGACTGACTGCAGTCAATACGGAAACAAATCCGCTAATAAACATGACCAAACCGTGGGCCCTCCAGGCGTCCCCACAAGACCAACGTTATAATTCGGATCATATTCCAACAAACTCCACCTTGAGGCGAATTCCATCTTGTAGCAAATGAAGTATCAATCAATCAACTCACTTCAATAATAAACAATCACCGGCGCCAAAAAAAAATCACTAGGACTTAATTTGTAATGCCAACTAAGCTTGAGCATAGCCCAAACTTAGCTCCAGAAACTGGCTTTGTCATCATATCAGCAGGATTATCATGAGTACTTATCTTGCACACCTTAACATCACCTTCAGCAATAACACCTCGAATGAAGTGATACCTCACATCAATATGCTTTGTCCTTTCATGAAACATCTGATCCTTGGTCAGACAAATAGCACTCTGGCTATCACAATGAATAGTAGTGCAAGAAGTAACCCCGCAAAGTTCAGAGTATAAACCTCTCAACCAAATAGCTTCTTTACAAGCTTCAGAAATAGCCATATATTCAGCTTCTGTAGTAGACAGAGCAACAGTGGACTGCAAACATGCTTTCCAGCTAACAGCATAACCACCAATGGTGAAAACATAACCTATGAGAGATCTCCTCTTATCCAAATCATCAGCAAAATCAGAATCAACATAACCAACAAGTCAATCTCTAGATTTCCCAAACTGCAAACAGGCATTAGAAGTACCTCGCAAATATCTGAAAATCCATTGAACAGCCCTCCAATGCTCCTTACCAGGATTAGCCATGAATCTACTGACAACACTCAATGCATGAGATAAATCAGGACGAGAACAAACCATGGCATACATAAAAGAACCAACTGCACTAGAATATGGAACTCTAGACATGTACTCAATATCTTTATCTGACTCTGGGCATAAATTTGATGATAATTTGAAATGTACAGCTAATGGAGTACTCACTAGTTTTGCATTATATATATTGAAACGACGAAGAACCTTTTCAATATAACCTCGCTGACTGAGGTATAATTTTCTAGATTTTCTATCTCTAGTAATTTCCATACTAAGAATTTTCTTAGCTGCACCCAAGTCCTTCATCTCAAATTCTTTACTCAATTGTGCCTTTAATTTAGCTATTTCTGATTTATCTTTAGCAGTAATCAACATATCATCAACGTAAAGAAGCAAATAAATAGCTGAGCCATTAACAATCTTCAAATAAACACAGCTATTATAATCTGACCGCTTAAAACCATGAGAGAGCATAAATGTGTCAAACCTCTTGTACCGTTGCCTAGGAGATTGCTTCAAACCATAAAGAGACTTCTTTAGTCTACACACAAGGTTTTCTTTTCCAGGAATAACAAAACTTTCAGGTTGGTTCATATAAATGTCTTCTTCCAACTCCCCATGTAAGAATGCAGTTTTAACATCAAGTTGCTCAAGTTCATAATCATGCATGGCAACAATACTAAGCAAAGTACGAATAGAACTATGCTTAACAACTGGGGAAAAGACATCATTATAATAAATACCTGGAATCGGCTATAGCCCTTAGCAACCAACCTCGCTTTATACCTTCTTTGGCTCACTAGGAGAAAGACCCTCCTTTCTTTTATAAATCCATTTGCAACAGACGGGCTTTTTTGTTCTTGGGCAATTTCACTAAATCCCAAGTACCATTCTTTTCAAGTGACTCCATCTCATCTTGCATAGCGGTCATCCAATTGTTGCAATCGTGAAGTAATAGCCTCGAATAATTAGAAGGTTACGAATTACCTTCAATCTCTTACGCAACACTCATAGCATAAGCAACATTGCATTCTTCAATATACCTTTTAACAGGCTTTGGCTGCCTACGGACCTATCAAGTGACAATAGAACGTTGTGGAGACGCTGGCGGAGAAGAATGCTCAAACAATAGAAGAATCATCAACAATTGGAGAAATTTCAGCAATCGGTGCATCTTGGACAATAGCATTATCAACATCTGGTGAATCAATTAAGTGCTCCACCTGCACACTTATTTTCTCCCCCTCAATAGGAGCATCAACAGAAGGATTGTCAACAAACATAATAGTTTCATTAAAGATAACATTCCTGCTAAGCATAACCTTCTGAGTCTGGGGATTCCACAATTTATAACCTTTAACACCAGATTGATAACCAATAAAAATGCATTTAACAGCTCTAGGCTCCAATTTACCATTATCAACGTGAGCATAAGCAGTACAACCAAAAACTCTCAATTGTGAATAATCAGCTGGAGAACCATACCATACCTCAATTGGAGTTTTCTTATCAAGAGGAATAGAGGGTGAACGGTTAATAAGATAGCAAGCAGTGGAAGCGGCTTCAGCCCAAAAACGCCTATTTAAGCCAGCATTAGACAACATGCAACGGGCCCTGGAGATGATAGTTTTGTTCAAATGCTCAGCTACACCATTCTGTTGAGGCGTATAAGGAATAGTGTAGTGCCTAACAATGCCTTGAGACTTGCAATATGCATTAAACTCATTAGAACAGAATTCCATCCCATTATCAGTGCGAAGCTTTTTAACCTTCTTTTCAGTTTGATTTTCAATCATAATCTTCCACTCTTTAAATGTTGAAAATGCTTCTGATTTATGCTTCAAGAAATAAGGCCATACCTTACGAGAATAATCATCAATGATTGTCAACATATAACGAGAACCACCAAAAGAAAGCTTGCGAGACGGTCCCCATAAATCAGAATGCACATAATCAAGAATACCTTTACTTTTATGTGTAGAGATATTAAATGACACCCTCTTGTGTTTGCCAAACACACAATGCTCACAAAACTTCAACTTACTAATGCTATGATCATCAAGAAGTCCTCTCTTGCACAATTCATGCAAGCCTTGCTCACTCATATGTCCAAGACGCTTATGCCAAAGATCAGTAGCATCAGAATTAGATGATGAATTGGAAATTACAGTGGCATCACCTATAATTGTAGTACCACGAAGACGGTACAAATTTGGAGATTTCAATTCACCTTTCATAACAATAAGAGAACCTTTTGACACCTTTAAAACTCCATCTCCACCGGAGTACTTGTACCCTTTAGCATCAAGAGTACTGAGAGAAATAAGATTCTTGCTCATGCTTGGAATATGCTTAATGTCAGCCAAAGTTCTGACAATGCCATCATGCATCTTAATCTGAATGGATCCAATACCAACAATATCAAGTGGACTGTCATCACCCAATCTAACAGAACCTCCACCTTGGAGTGAATCATAGGTCACAAACCAATCTCTATTAGAGCATATATGAAAAGAAGCAGCGGAATCAAGAATCCATTCATCATCACTATTAGCACATCCAGCAAAAGCAACAAGCGAATCACCATTGGAATAATCTGCCTTAGAAGCAGCAACAGAAGCATTACCTTCATCATTGGGTTTACCTTTCTCTCTATATGTGCCAGTTCTCTTCTCTTTATTCTTCAATTTCAAACAATCCTCGATAAAAGTGATTATCCTTCTTGCAATACTTGCAGAATTTATCACCTCTACCTCGAGACTTTGATCGGCCTTTGTAACGATTAGAACTTTTGCCTCTATTGCCATTATTTGATTTATTTTCTGTCCTCCCACGAACAGACAACGCTTCTCCTTTGGAAGCAGAACCTTCAGAAGACACCATCAATTTCATCTTTTCCTTAGCATGCAACGCCTCACAGACCTCATCAAGAGTTAGTGTATCATGGCTATATAATAAAGTATCTCTGAAGTTTGAAAAAGAACTAGGCAAAGAGCACAAAAGAATCAGACCCAAATCCTCATCATCATATTCTACCTCATAGCTTGTAGATCAGAAACGATCTCCTTGAAGACCGTCAGATGGTTAATCACAAAACCACCCTCTTGCAACTTGTGCGAATACAACTTCATCTTCATATGCATCTTGTTTGTCAAATCCTTAGACATGCAAATTGACTCTAACTTGAGCCATAGAGCAGCTGCAGTTTTCTCCAGCAGACAATCTTGCAAAATATTATTTGAAAGATGAAGCTGAATTTGAGTCAAGGCCTTACGATCCTTTTTCTTTTCATCATCAGTCCAAGATTTGGAATCCTTGTTACCAAATTTATCAAGAGCATCATCATTAGCCTGCGTAAGAATAGCTCTCATCTTGACTTGCCATAATGCGAACCTTGTATCACGATCTAGTTGAGGAATATCATATTTCATTGAAGACATGGTGAAGAAATAATAGCAATAACCAAAAGAATAATAATCTGCAGAAATATAGGCGTAACCCTAGCAAAACCTGCAGCCTGGCACACTTGATGTGTACGAATAGCAAAAAATAATTGCCAAAGAAATCCTCTGGTACGCTTTCTGTGTGCACGTAGCAAAAAATCACCAAATCTGAATTTTCAACTCACGAGAACAAACCTCAATCTGATCCTGGGCCTTGTTTAGATCACTCCAAAATTCCAAGTTTTTTCACTCTCTCTCCATCACATCAATTTTTAACCGCTTGCATGGAGCATTAAATGTAGGTAAAAAAAATAACTAATTGCACAGTTTAGTTGGAAATCACGAGATGAATCTTTTGAACTTAGTTGGTCTATGATTGGACAATATTTACCAAATAAGACAAAAGTGCTACTATTCATCGGGTTGAAATTTTCTTCAATCTAAACAAGGCCCTGATCACTTGGGTTGGCGTGCGACAGCAGCAAATCAATTTCACCTGCACCGCCGCACGCAAGGAACAGCGGTAGCTTTTCTTCTCTGCCTCTGGACACGGCGTCAATTTTCTTGGCCAGAATACACAGCGGCGGCAGATTGATTTAACTCCTGAGAACAGCGGCAACAGCAGAAGACCAGATCGACCTCTGCACAGCGACGTCGGCCCTGATTTTGTACTCCGTAGATCACAACAGGAACAGACAACCGCCTCCACCTCCAACTCGAACTCGGACGAATCAGACTCCGCCTTGGACTCGATGCAATAGCGTCGAATCGCCGATTGAACTCGGCACGGAAAACACTGAACCGAAGATAATCCCGGCGGCGGCGCGATGAATAGGGTGAAACCCTAACCTTATTTTTTTTCAATCTCGTGTCTGGCTCTGATACCACTTGTTAGTAAATAATGCAAATCAAGATCGAACACGAGACACAGATTTTTACGTGGAAAACCCTTGCGGGAAAAAACCACGGGCGCCAACCGGCGATCTTCACTATATGGAGAGAGTTTACAGAACGCAGGGAATACAATGAGTCGTCAGCTCTTCCCGTGCGGCTTACAAGATGTATTTAAATAGGACGGACTGACTGCAGTCAAATACAGAAACAAATCCGCTAATAAACATGACCAAACCGTGGGCCCTCCAGGCGTCTCCACAAGACCAACGTTATAATTCGGATCATATTCCAACATCTTAGTCGAGGTGGGCCTCTGACATCTCCAAATGCTCTGAGTCCCACTGCTCTGAGTGAGATCAGATGTGTGTGCAAATCGAAACTGGATAAGCTTACCTGAGCCTCTGGATCTAGATGGTCAGACTCCCGCTAGTGCCTCGTGCTAGTTTTTTCTGACGCTTCATTGTGATTTGTACGAAGTTGCTATGCAAATGCAGGGCAGAAAATGTGGACGGCTAAAGAAACGTCCCAAGGACGCAAGCAGTATCTTGCCGTGGGAGGAAACCCCTCAATATGTCCTGTTCGTTTGGGCTGGTTCGGCTTATAAGCCATAGTTGAAAGTACGGCTGGTTTGGTGTGAGAGAAAAATACTGTTCGTTACTGGTAAGCCATGGCTTATAAGCCAAATACAACTAAACGAACATGTTGATGGATGATGTTACTTGGCCCATGCCCCAAGAAAGCAAAGCATAGAGGAAGTCAGGAACTCGAAATATCTTCCCTCCGTTGGATGCCTTGCATGGTGATAAACGCTAAGAGCTAGTAATAGTGATTAGTGACAGCCACCAAAGCCACAAGGCAGAGCAACGACGAGAAGGGACATCGAGAGCGCATGCGTTCAGACCAGGATTTACATTACCAGCGATATTTCCAACCGGAGCCACGAGCATTTCTTGACATGAAAATTCTCTCTGGACTTTGGATAATGTGATCACAAAATTGATGAGCAGCCGTGGGCCGAAGGGCCCAGAGATTCTTACCTGAACAACATCTGGGCCCATGTCAGCCCATGCGATCGAGCCGTCCCACTCCGCCACTCGCATGTTGCTAAAAAAAAAAGGAAAAATGGGTTTCATAGCATCAAAGATGACGAGATTCGAAAAATACCACTCAAATATCACGGCCATGTAAAATACCACCGAAAAAACAATCTGTTACCTGAAACTACCATTCTATCACGGTTTGAGCTAACGACGTGAATCTACCGTTGCTCCTCCCTTCTTCTCACGTGAGCACCAGTGGAAATCCCATCCCTTTCGTCTTCCTCAGCTCTGGCGTAGGTCACAATGAAAAAAAAAACACTTGCACTAGTGGCCGCCGAGCCAATCCACACCACAAATTCCATGGTGGTTACTCCACTGGGTCAACAGGCCAATAGGACATCTGCCCAAGGCTGTTTCTTTGCCTTGTTTCCATAGCGTCTTCTTCGAGTCCATGTTGCGTGGATTCAACTGTGGATTCAGGAGGCCTAATCTTCGCCGGTGATTTTGCTCATGCTCGGCCGTCGCTGCTCGCGCCCAACCTGCTCGAGCCGCCGCGCGCCGCAGCACGAGCAGCACGCAGACCGCCCTGCTCGAGTTGCCGCGCGCCTGTGCGCGAACCTCTGTCGGGCCATGCTACTCGAGCCACTGCGCGCCCGCAAGCGAGACGCCGCCGGCCAGCCACGCGCATGAAGCGCCACCGTAATGCACTGCTCGAGCTACCGAGATGCCCTCCTCGATGCGGACACCGTCGTCCAGCACGCGCCAGCTGCTGCCGGTGCCGCCCTGCATCTTCCATATCTGACTCGAGTAGCTGGGACTTGGATTTTTTTTTTGTTGCTTTATTAGATGGACGGGAATGGACGATGTTGACGCTGAGGACGGATTGCTACTTTCGGATAACGGTTCTATGTTTCAGCGCGGTATTTTCCGAACGTCGTGATTTTTCCGATGCTACGAAACCAATTTTCGAGAAAAAAAACTCGGCCACTCGTATTTTCTTGACCGTCCAATGCACCTGACCCCCAACTGCAGACGACTATCAGGCCGCCCGCGATGGTCCTCCGGCGTGTCCCCTCCTCGGCTCCTCGCCGGCGCTGCCTAGCGCGCTGTCCGTCTTCTAGGAGATGGCCGGCCATGGCCAGCGCCTACCCTTCACTGCGCCCAAGTGTGCGCACTGGACGGGGCTAAACATCGGCGGGGGCACCTGGGCAGTTTGATTTCCCCAAGAACTGTCCGGATCTGTGGACCCGTGCTGTCTCCACTGTCCAGTCAACTCGCGAGCCGTGGTAAATGTTCTTTGATCTAGCTGTCGATTCCTTAAGCCGGTTGATGTTTTAGTGGAGGTTCTGTTGTACCCAGTCTCTAGTCTCTGTTAAAGTGCTATACAATCTGTTATTATTTGGCCGCTACATGTTATCGGAATTAAGTACATTGCTGGACCACTGATTGGGAACTAGTGAAATTATACAAGTCTGTTTAGGAGTCAAGTGCTCACTGGTGTCATTCAGGTATTGTGCCCCACCTGAGAAGTAAAACTGATGTATTCCCTTCTGAATTCAATTCAGCTACAATGGGGATTTTTGCTGCAACTCAGCTGTACAATAGATATAACATTTCAACCATACAAAACTAAAACTCTGAAATAACATATAATTGGCTATATGAGAATGGGCCTGTTGGATAGTTTTTTTTTTCTCAAAACGGCAGCAAAAGCTATACCGTTCCAGCACTTGTTTTTGTATTTCTGCCTGTCAGACAGTGCAAGTCCAGTTTTAGGTACAATGCTATGACCCACTTCCACCAGTTCTAAATTATATCATGCAACAGTAGTGGTCCTGGCTTGTAATATCATCATTTATAGCTTCCATTTTGTTCTATTTTCTCCACTTGATATGTTTGTTTTTGTTGCTAATTCAAATATCCATTTTCTGAAATTTTATTACCTAATAAACCTTTTCCTTGTAGGTGCTAGTTTGAATACTGATGGAGCCTTACGATTCCTATGTTCCATAGAGATCATTCATTGGTGCCTTCATGTATCCAGTGAACAAACATACCAGATGCCACTGGCATAAGGGACAACAGCCTGCGGGAAGTTACCTTTTTTGTGACCATCAGCCTTGGAACACCAGCTGTTCATAACCTTGTGGCAATTAACACTGATTCCTCTCTCTCTCTCTTCGGTTCAGTGACACTGTGACATCCACTGCTATTGGCAAAGTGGAAAGGCTGGACTGATAACCCTTTCAAGTCCTCAACTTACCAGAATGTCAAGTGCTCAACTGTGGTCTGCCGTGCCATGCACAAGAACTATGGTATTTTTTTTGGCTGTGTCCACGAGCAAGATGCTTGCCTCTACAGAATACAATATGCATTGGGAGAATACTCAGTTGGGTACTTAGTCAAAGACAAGCTCACCCGTCCAATTTCCCTCAAAATAAGCTCACCCCTCCAAACAACTACACCATTGATGATTTCATTTTTTGTTGCGGTGCAGATAATCTATACAGACAAACAGTAGAGCCTTTTCATACTGCTTTCCTAGTGATCATGAGAATGAAGGGTTTCTGTCAATCAGACCATATATTCGGGATGAAAAGCTTATGTTGACTTTGACTAGATTGATCAGTTATGGCCACTTACCGTTCTATGCTATTCAACAGCTTGAGATGACAGTCAATTGGATACGGCTTAAAATTGATCCCTGTATCTATACTGCAACAATGACAATAGTTGATTCATACCGATACATTTATTTTATCTCCAGTATTTCATGCACTTGACAAGGCAGTGAGCATTACAATGCTAACTAAAGGATATGCATGGGGAAGCGTTAAGGACAAGATTTGCTTTGTTACAACTGGTGAACTGACAGACTGGAATGACTTACCAGAAGTAGAGATGAAATTTGAAATGTATGCCGTGATGCTACGAATGGTTCTGTTCTATGTGAATTCAGTCGATGATATTTGCTTGACATTTCAGCCAGATGGTGCCAATGTAAAGGGGGTTCAAATTTTGGGGAACAGAGCAATGAGATCATTTAGGGTTGTTTATGATATCCAAGACACGATATTTGGCTTTCAAGCTCCCTCAACAAAAAAAAAAAACTAGTACTTTGTGCTGCAGGGGGTAGCCCTTATTATTTTCGAGATTTTTTTTGAGGAAAGAACACTTTATTATTGACACAGCAGTTACATACTTTGTAAAGATGCGGGCTTCTCTAGTTTAGTGCTTAATGCTCTGTTAAAGTTTAGTCTTACAACTTTCTTGTCAAGCTATTGAAATTGTTTTGGCTGTCTGTTGTAAAAACATGATATGGCATTTTATCGCACATCTTTTTGCATATCACAGTTCTTCTCTGGTTTGGCGCTCGATGCTCTGTTAAATTTGAGTATGGAAACTTTCCTGTTAGGTTGTTATAAATTGTTATAGCTGTCAATTTTAGAATCATGTACGACAGTTCATTATCTTCGTATGTGCCAACCTCAGCTTTCAAACTTTCAAAGAAAAGGGAAAACACGACAATGACATTAATAAATATTCTTGATGTGATTTACTAAATGGCAAACCAAGTTTAGAGCTATTTTGGATATATTCATCATGTTGATATACTCTATTTGACTTATAATCACATTGATTAATGCATTTCTTCGTGGCAAAACACTAAAACAGACCCCAAGGTTGATGCTCTGTATAGCTTTTGGGTTGCTCACTTTACATATAAATCTGTTGACTTGTCTCCACAAGAGCAAATTAGTAGCTCTGAAAGATACAACTGAACTAGTTTGCAATTATTTAAAATTAAACCATACTCAAATTGTAACTGCTCGTGGTACTTGCAGATTCAAACGGCATAATAATCTTTCGCTGAACATAATAACTGATTAAAAATTCCTTTTCATTAATTAGCTTCAGGTTACATTGAAAAAAAAGTAGCTTCACAGCATGCAAAATAACAGAGACTCTAGCAACTAGTAGTACACAACTGATGAACTGAAGCATATTAATAGCAGCAGAAATTTTCCAACAAAACATTGCAAAGCATTTCCATAGCACTTCGGATTTATCTCCGTTCATGTACCTTGCATCATTAGAAAAGGCCTGACACTCTATCTTGAAGACACCTCACAACATGATGTGACCAAGCCATGTACTTTACAAAAGCACAATGAGCTTGAACTATCGTACTGCACGCCTCCACAGTGAAATGAATCAATACAAATACGCCTGGTGTACCTGAAATCAGAGTTCAAATTAACCTCGCACATGCATCTGCTGTGAGTTTGGTGTTTGTCAGGTGGTGCTTGGACCCTTTTGTGTGTTAGAAAAAAGGAAGCGCAATGAAACTGGAGAATTACCTTTTTCAAAAGTGCTTTTGCTTGCATTGTCAGTTGACGCTGTTAGTATGCATGCTTGAGTACTAACAACAATGGTGTTGAGAAATATATAATACCTCAGAATTCTGGGTGCATATCAATACAACTGGAGTTTGGATACCCATAACACTGTAAGAGTGTTCACATATGCACAATGCAGACATCAGAGAGCACACGCCCAAAGCAAACTGTATCACAAAACTTGAACCGAATGTAGACCTTGAACATCTGCAATGAACAAATCATAATAATGTGGATGAGGAATTAGATTGGCCAGTGAACTGCACAAGTAAAGGGCACCAATCTTCAGAGTCTAATGAACTCACCAGTCGAAGTCCAAGTGATAATGGGCTGCGCCTAGCCCAATCTTCAGATGAGGGATGTGGGAGATGAGGTGCCAGTCCTTCCCGTTCCTTCTCTCACAGCGCCTCACCATATCATCAGGGCAGCCATCGATCTCCAGTGTCTGCAGAGCAGTAAGGCCTTTAATCCACTCTGACAAGGATCTAATGCCCGGGCAGTCCTTGATTGTAAGCTCTTCAAGGGACGTGAGGCAGCACATTGATTCAGGAACGGAAGTCAGGCCCGGCAACTACCATAGCACCAATTTACTTAGAGAGCGGAGTTCCCCCAGCGATTTGGGCAGTTGGCCAAGTTCCCTGCTGTATGCAATTCCCAGCTTCTGGAGGGAGGTGAGGTGCCCCAATGATTGCGGAAGGCAAGTTAGGCTGTGCGACTGACTAATTGTGAGTACACATAGAGAACGAAGTTCCCCCAGCGATTCGGGCAATTGGCCAAGTGCCTCGCAGTATGTTATTTTGAGCTCCTGGAGGGAGGTGAGGTGCCCCAGTGATTGGGGAAGGCACCTGAGGCTCCGCAACTGCCAAATCTTGAATATGCGTAGAGAATGAAGTTCCCCAACACATTCGGGAAGTTGGGCAAGTGCATCGCAGTATTCGATTCGGAGCTCCTGGAGGGAGGGGAGGTGCCCCAATGATCGTGGAAGGCTTCTCAGCCTGGGTAATCCCTTGATGCCTAGCTTTTGTAGAGAGCAAAGTTTGCCGAGACATTCTGGCAGCTCGTGGAAATCATGACAACCTAATATTTGGAGATCCGTGAGTGAGGTGAGCTGCCTGAATGATTGGGTGTGGCTACTTATGCCGTTTCAAATACGTATCACTAGAGTCTGCAGAGACGGAGAGCAGAGGTGATCCACCCACCTACTGTTAGAAATATCCAGTGCTTTGAGGGCCCTGAGTGGCTGCATTGATGGTGCAGGGCTCAAACTACCGCAGTCGAAAAAGCTCATCGTTTCCAGGTAACGGAGTTCCCCCAGCCACTCCGGAAGCATACAGAGAGAGCGGCAGAATGAGATGCGCAGAGTTCGGAGGGATGCGAGACTCCGCACGCTCTCTGGCAGCTCGATTAGGCCATCGCACAACTTAATCTCTAAGGACTCCAGTGCCGTCAAATGTTGCAGCAGCTCCCATCGACACCCAGATCCGTACGATGCTGCTCCTGGTGGTGGTGCCATATCATTTAGTTCAAGTTCCTTTAGGCAGCTAAAACTAAAAGAAGGCAATCCTGCACCACTGGAAGGTAGTCCCAACAGCTGCAAGTTGCTCCACCCCAAACTCAAGTCATTCAGCGACGACGGAAAGCATGGCATCACCATCAGTTTGGGACACCTTGATATAGCTAGAACGGATAGATGATTACCAATCTGCACTTGTCCTCCTTCCACATCAGCCATGCCCCCCTCTGTTACCATCCATACCACGCCCAAACTTGGCATTCCACCCATGATGAATAACTTCAGCAGCGAAGGAAATGGAGCTCCGCTTATGCTTCTAAGAGCAGGCATTCCACTGAGCATAAGCTTCTCCAAACAAGGAAACTCCGGTAGCCCCTCCAGTCGCTCCAATTTTGGGAAATCTGATAATTCCATCTCGCACAACAGCCGGAAGCGAAACATCCTCATCCACTGCGGGGATTCCTGACCAGAATACCGGACAATTTTGAGGTTTTCAATTCCAGGCGGTGGTTCCAACCCGTCCAGATGACTTTCAGAGTTCACCCCCACATCACTTGCACAAATAAGTGCCAGGCTCTGTAAGTTTGTCTTCTGCTTCAAACATTCCTTGTGTGCAACATCTGGGTCCATACAATGTCTAATACCATGGATAGTTAGTTCCCTGCTAATCTTATTAATGTTTTCAAGCTCTGAGATATGTGCATAATTTTCATCATCCTCCCCCATAACAAATAATCCCAGCGTTTCAAGTCGAGTAAGCTGACCAATCCCTTTTGGAATCCCTCGTAACTTTCCACATCCTTGCAGGTTCAGAACAACAAGCTTCTTCAAGTTCCCTATGCCTTCAGGCAACTCTATCAACTTGGAACACCAATGAAGGTCCAAACACTCCAGGTTTTCTAGTGCCGTGATACTTGATGGTAGCCTCTCAAGTTTGGTACGACCTAGTCTCAGTACCCTTAGCCTTTTGTTTCTGCTGATAGAGCTGGGTAGCGTTGCAACCTTCTTGCAACCAAAAAGGTCTATGCTAGAAATCATGACACAAGTGCCAATAGAATCTGGCAAACTTGTTAGGTGCCAACAGTATGACAAGTTCACCACTCTCAACTTCTGCAGCTTACCAATGGATTCAGGTAACTTGACAAGATTACTTGACGTTACATGAAGAGCTTGCAGACTCCAGATTTCTGAAATAACCTCAGGAAGTGGTTCATATCTCAATCCTGAAATGCTAAGGTACCTTAAATTTTTGGTCTGTAGTATGGCTGTGAGCGCTGATGTATGCACATTTTCCACAGTGATACTGCTCAAGTGTTTTGCTTTCTTCAATGACTTCCCAAATATGAAATCATCGTCTTCAGCAATATACATAGCACGTGCCTTTCTAAATGTATTTTCTGGGGGGAAGATGTCTTGTGTGTTCTGTTATCGAAAAATACCGGCAGATCTTCGTGAAATCGACTGCCTTCTTCAGTACAACAAGTGAAATTTCATCACCCAAAATGGATCTGGCAAGATCATGCACCAAGTCATGCATCTTACATTTAACTTTCTCACCATTTCTTTCCTTCACATCTTGTATAAAGTACATTTGCACAAGCTGATTAAAGTAATCATTGCCAATAATTTCCAGGTCCTTGACAACATCTTCCATGACCATATCAAGAGAAATCCATTGGTCAATCAATTGGTCTTTATCAATCCAGTAACCTTTAGGAAAAATTGAACATATAGTGAAACACTGCTTTAGATGGAATGGCATATTAAAATAGCTAAGCCACAAGCAGGCAGATACTTGACGTTCTCTACCCTCAACATCTAATAAATTACTCTCTTTTATGGCTTGCCATTGTTCTAATCGTTTCTTAACGCGGAGGACCCCTGCAAGAACTTTAATTGCTAGTGGCACCCCAACGCACTTGTTCACAATCTCTTTCCCAACTTCTTGAAATTCAGAGTCCAAATCTTTCATAGCATTTCCAAAACTTTGCTGAAATAATTGCCAGCTGTAAAAGATACGACTGAACTTTCTTACATCCATAGGCTCAAGTTCTTCATACGCTTCTCCCCACACCGTTTTATGACAGCTTAATGATGCCCCGAAGATTTCATTGGGTCTCCAATAGTATGCAATTATTTTAAGTTAAACCATACTCAAATTATTCAGATTTGTTTTCCTTCTTTTTTTACATCTCCATCCGCAGCAGTGCAATTACTAAAGCAAAACAATTGTAACTGCTCGTGGTACTTGAAGATTCAAACTGCATAATAATCTTTGCCTGAACATGATAACTGATTAAAATTCCTTTTCATTAAGTAGCTTCAGGTTCCTTTGAAAAAAAAAAAGTAGCTTCACAGCATGCTCTTTTCTATGTCAATTTTGGGTGCTTAGCTTTGTACAAAATAACAAAGACTCTAACAACTAGTAGTACACATCTGATGAACTGAAGCATATTAATAGCAGCAGAAATTTTCCAACAAAACATTGCAAAACATTTCCACAGTACTTTAGGAGTTCGGATTTATCTCCGTTCATGTACCTTGCATCATTAGAAAAGGCCTGACACTCTATCTTGAAGACACCGCACAACATGATGTGACCAAACCATGTACTTTACAAAAGCACAATGAGCTTGAACTATCGTATTGCACACCTCCACAGTGAAATGAATCAATACAAATACGCCTGGTGTACCTGAAATCAGAGTTCAAATTAACCTTGAACATGCATCTGCTGTGAGTTTCATGTTTGTCAGGTTGTGCTTGGACCCTTTTGTGTGTTAGAAAAAGGAAGGCACAAAGGGAGAATTTCCTTTTTGAAATGTGCTTTTGCTTGCTGCAATCAGTTGACGGTGTTGGTATCTCGAGTACTAACAGCAATGGCGTTGAGAAATATATAATATATCAGAGTCTAATGAACTCACCACCCGAAGAAATAATGGTAATAATGGGTTTCTGCTTCCCCAATCCTCAGATGAGGGATGTGGGAGATGAGGTGCCAGCTTCCCCTTCCTTCTCTCGCAGCGCTTCTCCATATCAGGGCAGCCAGAGATCTCCAGTGTCTGCAGAGCAGTAAGGCCTCTAATCCACTCCGACAAGGATCTAATACCCTTGCAGTCCGCGATAATAAGCTCTTTCTCGAACGTGCCATTGGCACGGTATTCATTAAGCAGAAGGAGAGTTTTATAAATTAAAGCTGGGACGATAATTTGTGATTACCAAGCTAAACACTGACAGAGATCACACAGTTGTGATTTACAAAAGAAAATACTTAGCGACCAAGAGAAGGATCAAGCACAGGGACAAAAACCAACAGGCCCTGAGCTCAGCGGCTAAAGAGCGTCGTGCTTGAAGCCAGTGAGGTTCAGCTCCATAGCAACCGGATCGAAGTCTGGAGCGAAGAGTGCCTGAAGGGCCTCTTGTTTGGAGGGCGACAACGGCGCAGCGAAGAAGGCCTTGATACCGTCCAAAGCCACAGGGTTCGGACCCTGCGGCATATCTGCGATCCCCAGCTTTTGCTTGAGCACATTTTGTGCTTGGATAGTTGGGTTGGAGGCCTTGGTCTTAGCAGCCAGCCTCCCACTCCGACGCACTGACATCACCATTGAAGGTGTCCTAGACCTTCTCAGCCTCGACTTGCTGAGCAACGGGGTCTCGAGCGGGATGTATACCCGCGCCTCCAATTGTGCCAACAGGGACACCTCAGCCGATGGAGGTTGAGCATTGTGGCCTTCATCGTCAATCGATGATCCACGGCTACGCCTCAACAGCTCAAGCTCTGTAACCTCCGAATCCGCAATGTCGTGCTGTCCCACCCGTGGTGGCGTGACTTGCGGCATCTCCACCTCAGGCGACAACGGGGGCGAATCCGTCGTTAGGGAGGCGCCCGCTGGATTAGTGGGGCTCCATGGCGTTGTTGGTCCCGCTGGCCGGCTCGCGACGAGTGAGGCAGTGAGCTCCTCCAGCATCGGGTCCACCCACGCAGGAGGTCCCACACCCACGCAGGGCTCCAAGACCAGCGGGTCTGGCTCAGGAAAGCAGGAAGCAGCGGTGACAGAGGCTACGCCCGGCGCCGTCGAAGCGGCCCGTGTCGACCTCCCGAGATGCCTACGTCGTTGGTGTCGCTGGCCACCGCTGGCAGGAACAACGCTGTTCGGCACGGTCTCACAAGCGCCACGAGAAGCACCGTGGTCCGCCGGCTGAGCATCGGAGTTGCTGGTGGGCTCACTGTGACCCTCCCTGGTAGCACAGTCTGCTGCGATAGTAGTTTCCGGCGCCGTAGCGGTGCCGGAAACCTCGCCGTTGTCGGCTGCAGCGTCGCCGGGGAAGTCGGTGTTGTGTAGCATCGGCTGTCTCCAGCGTCTTGTCCGCCGCCGCCGCCGCCTTCGGCCGACAGACGCAGGAGCAGTCCTCTTCAAGGGAGGTGAGGCAGCACATCGATTCAGGAGCAGAAATCCGGTCCGGCAAGCACCATATGTAGAATTTAGAGAGAATTCCTTGTGTGCCATTAAAAAAGATCGCAATGCCCTGTGTGCCCCTGAAAAAGTTCAGCGGTCTTCAGCGCCACTGCTCTAACTTTTTTGTGCCCTCTATGCCACTGCCGTCAGTTTGGGCTCTAACGCCGTCAAACTGCAGCAGTAAAAAGTCAAAAATACCCTTAAGTCTAAATACATCATTAATTTTTTTGAGCATCTTAACGACTTCAAATGAAAAAACTCAAAACTAGAAAGTTATAGATCTCATCGAGATCTATAATTTTTATATAAAAATTATCTTTATTTAATTCCGCAAAAAAATATGATTTGATATGATTAATATATCTTAGAAAAATCATTTTTTTTGCGGAATTAAATGAAGATAATTTTTATATGAAAATTATAGATCTCGACCAGATCTACAACTTTATAGTTTTGAGTTTTTTCATTTGAAGCCATTAAGATGCCCAAAAAAAATTAATGACATATTTAGATTTAAGGGTATTTTCGACTTTTCACACCTGCAGTTTAATGGCGTTGGAGCCCAAACTGACTGGCATGGAGGGCATAAAAAAGTTGGAACAGTAGCACTGAAGACCACTGAACTTTTTCAGAGACACACATGACATTGTGATCTTTTTTAATAACACAGAGGGAATTCCACTAGAATTTATTTAGGGCTCGTTCGTTTGGCCTGGAACAGAGGCGGGAACCATTCTATCTGGAGGAAGCTTATACAAATTAGACACGTATTCCTGGCTGGATTTGTTTCCGGCCACGGTTCCCCAGGAACCGAACAGAAGCTTAGAGAGCGGAGTTCCCCCAGCGATTCGGGGAGTTGGCCAAGTGCTCGGCACATTCCTATTTCGAGCTCCTGGAGGGAGGTGAGGCGCACCAATGATTGGGGAAGGCACGTTAGGCTCGGCAACTCCTTAATCTTGAATACGCGTAGACATCGAAGTTCCCCAACACATTCGGGAAGTTGGCCAAGTGCATCGCAGACTCCAATTTTGAGCTCCTGGAGGGAGGTGAGGTACCCCAATGATTGTGGAAGGCTGCTCAGCCTACATAATGCCTCGATGTGTAGCATTTGTAGAGAGCGGAGCTCTCCGAGACATTCTGGCAGCTGGTGAAACTCACAATCGCTTATTACGAGATTGGTGAGTGAGGTGAGCTGGCTGAATGACTGAGGGAGGCTACTAACGCTGTCGTAACCATGAATCCGTGGAGTCTGCAGAGACGGAGAGCAGAGGTCCCCCACCCACCCACTCTTGAAAATATGCAGTGCTTTGAGGGCCCTGAGCGGCTGCATCGGTGGAGCAAGGTTCAAACTACTGCACCCCGAAACGTACATCTTTTCCAGATAACAGAGCTCCCCAAGCCACTCGGGAAGCATACAGAGAGGTCGGCATCTTATAATCCGCAGGGTTCGGAGGGATGCGAGGCTCCGCATGCTCTCCGGCAGCTCGGTTAGGCCATTACAACTATCAATTCTCAAGGACTCCAGTGCTATCAAGTGTTGCAGCAGCTCCCATCGACATCCAGATCCATACGATGCTGCTCCTGCTGGTGGTGCCATGCCTTCCAGTACAAGCTCCTTTAGGCGGCTAAAACTAAAAGAAGGCAATCCTGCACTACTTGAAGGCAATGAGGACCTTTGGTCTACGCCTGGCAGTCCCAACAGCTGCACGTTGCTCTTAACCAAATGCAAGTCCTTCAGCGATGAAGGAAAGTATGGCATCACCATCAGTTTGGGACACTCCGATATAGTTAGAAATGATAGACGATTACCAATCTGCAGTTGCCCCCCTTCTACATCAGCCAAGCTTTCTTCTGTTACCATCCAAACCACGCCCAAACTTGGCATTCCATTCATATATAACTCCAACAATGAAGGAAATGGACCTCCGCTTATGCTTCTAAGAGCAGTCATTTTTCTTAGCACAAGCTTCTCCAAATAAGGCAACTCTGTTAGCCCCTCCAGACGCTCCAATTTTGGGAAATCTGATAGTTCCATCTCGCTCAACAGTCTGGAAGCGAGGAAGCCCTGCTACTTCTGCACCTCTGTGCTTCAACATCCACTGCATGGATTCCTGACCTGAATACCCGACAATTTTGAGGTTATCAATTCCAGGCGGGGGTTCCAACCCTTCCAGTTGATTTTTAGACTTCGCCCCCACATCACTTGCACAAGTTAGTGTCAGGCTCTGCAAGTTTGTCTTCTGCTTCAACCATTCCTTGTGTGCAACATCTAGGTCTATACAATGTCCAATACCATGGATAGTTAGTTCCCCTCTAATCTTATTAATGTTTTCAAGCTCAGATGTTTGTGCATCATTTTCGTTATCCTCTCCGATAACAAATAGTCCCAGCGTTTCAAGTCGAGTAAGCTGTGCAATCCATTTTGGAATGGCTCGTAACATTTCACATTCTCTCAGGTCCAAAACAACAAGCTTCTTCAAGTTCCCTATGCCTTCAGGCAACTCTACCAACTCAGAACAGCTATAAAGGTCCAAACACTCCAGGTTCTCCAGTGTCGTGATACTTGATGGTAGCCTTTCAATTATGGTATAACCTAGCCTCAATACCCTTAGCCTTTTATTCTTGCTGACAGAGTTTGGTAAAGTTGCAACCTTAAAACAACAAAAAAGGTCTATTGTAGAAATCATGACACAATTGCCAATAGATTCTGGCAAACTTGTTAGACTCCTACACCATGACAAGTTGACCACTCTCAACTTCTTCAGATTTCCAATGGATTCAGGTAACTTGACAATATCACTTGATGTTACATGAAGAGCTTGCAGATTCCAGATTTCTGAAATAACCTCAGGAAGTGTTTCCTATTTCAATCTTGAAATTCGAAGGTACCTCAAATTTTTTGTCTGTAGTATGGCAGTGAGTGCTGATGTATGCACATATTCCACCGTGATACTGCGCAAGTGTTTTGCTTTCTTCGATGCCTTGCCAAATATGAAATCATCACCTTCAACAATGTACATAGCACGTGTCTTTTGAAATGTATTTTTGGGCAGAATATGTCTTGTATTTCCCATTATAGAAAAATACCTGCAGATCTTTGTGAAATTGGTTGTCTTCTTGGGCATGACAAGTGAAATCTCATCACCCAAAATGGATCGGTCAAGATCATGCACCAAATCATGCATCTTACACTTTACTATTCCACCCCCTGCTTCCTCCACATCTTGTATGAAGTACATTTGCACAAGATGACTAAAGTAGTCATCGCCAACATATTCCAAAAGTAGTTAACACCATCTTTGGCGACCATGTCATGAGCGATCCATTGGTCTTTATTAATCAAGTGACCTTTAGGAAACATTGAACATAGCGTGAAACACTGCTTTAGATGAGATGGCAAGTTAAAATAGCTCAACCACAAGCAAGCAGATACCTGACATTCTTTATCATCGACATCTAATAAATTGTTGTCTTTTATGGCATGCCATTGTTCTACTCGTTTCTTGTCACGGAGGATGCCTGCAAGAACTTTAATTGCTAGTGGCACCCCACCGCACTTGTTCACAGTATCTTTCCCAACTTCTTGAAATTCAGAGCCCAAATCTTTCACAGCATTTCCGAAGCTTTGCTGAAACACTTGCCAGCTGTAATCCTTAGATAACAGTGGCAAGTCGATTAATGTTGTAGATTCCACTGCTTCAGCAACATTTCTACTACGAGTAGTGAGTAGAATCCTGCTTCCTGGTGAGCCATTCTTTAGATGTACCATGAACTCTGCCCATTTAATACGCTCTTGAGTCCAAACATCATCCAATACAAGCAGGAACCTTTTGTTGGTCAACTCGTCTGAGATTTTATTGGCCATATACCTCAAGGAAAGGCCATCGGACCTCTCGTTTGAAATAGCATCAAATAGCTTCTTGAGAATTTTTTCAAGTTGAAATTTCTCCTCTGACACATGAACCCATAGTTTAACTGGGAAATGATTATGGTTTTTATTTTTTACTTCGCTGAAAACCAGCTGGGACAGGGTAGTTTTCCCAGAGCCACCAAGTCCAACTATTGAAACTATCTTGATTCTCTGTTGGTCAACATCCTGTAGCAGCTCAGATAGAATATCATTCATCTCTTGGTCTCTTCCGATTACTGCTGCCTCATCCACGAAGGGCAGTGTTTGCATATTCATAGCTGTGTCTTCTATATGGCTAACAGGATCATTGCCAACCACTGAATTAAAAATACTTCTTTGCTTCACAAAGACATCAAACATCTTCTTAATTTTCTTGATCTTTTTGGCAGCCTGGCATTGAAATATAAATGATTTTGGTTTTGTGTGCAGGCAACTGGACACAAAACTACCATCACCATCAGCTTCATATTTTTCAGCCTTCAGTTGGAACTCATCCACAACATCATCAACCTCATAAACAGCTTCTTTCAACTTTTTGAGAAATGGAGCATCCCCTATAGCTCTGTCTCCTGCTGCTTCCAATCGGCTGTTGATCTCCTGAGCTAGATCTTGTAGTTCCCGGAGGTCCTCTTTCACACCCACTATATAGCTGTACTCTTTGAAGACCAGTGGAGCTAACTTGTTGCCCACAAGCTTCAACATTGCAGATACTGCTGCAGCTTCCATACCAACCATGTTTCAATAAGCGCCTTCTTTCGCCCAGATTTCCTATAGATCTTATTAAAAAGAAATAAGCAGGCATTGTGTGAAGCAAAAGAGTCATATAATGCTAGCACTTTCTTGTGCAATTATCTTTTTCCCATATCTGACCTGCGCAAACAAGTGTAGCCAGCACTTTAGCCTCTTGATAGATGAATGCTGCTGAAGTGGGGCTTCTTAATTTGCAGGCAGGCCTTTAAAGCCTTGTTGTCCCTGCCATCACAAGGAGCCCAGCGAGTGCTCCAAAACTAGAGAGCCTGAGATCAGATGGGGTTTTCTTCTAGGCAATGAATGAAGAAACATAAACTAGCCCCGCCTTGCATCAATTAAGTAGGGAAAGGAGAGGTGAACGAGTTAACACGGGTAAAGATGAACATAAATACCAACCAGAGCGCCAAGTACAGAAGAATCAACGGCGTCTTTGTAGGCTCTGTCTTCAGTACTACCTGCGAAGAGTCTGAAATTAGGTGTAAGCAGAAAGAGTGGAAGGCGCTGGCGTGCAAACTGGATGTCATAAAACAAACTGGATGTCATAAATCAATCTTAATTGGTTACAAGTAGAATATGATAGTGTAAAAATACCTGAATCTCAGACGAGATATGCTGCTGCTTTTGCCTCTGACATCTCCAAATGCCGTGCTTCTTCTCCCCTCAGCGAGGTGTGCGTGCAAGCAAATCGGAACCGGATCTGCGCAAGGAAGGCGCAACTGAGCTTAACTGAGCCCTCTGCCTGCTGTTGCTAGTCTTGTGACGCTTAATCAGCAACTGTAGGTGGGTCGGTCAGATGTCCAGTCTCGAATAGTATCGATGCTGGAGTCACGTGCGCCGGACGCAAAAGAGTGGCTATTGCCTGTTGGCCCAGTGGTAGGTAGCTGTTGGCAATGGTGCGACAGTGGTGAGTGGAGTGGTGACGATGCATGGTACCACATGTGCTCGGCACCAATGGTGCGTCGTGTTGGCACTGCCAATAATTCTGCAGCGTGCGAGTAAAGTTCACCGGTGGTCCGCAGACTTTTCCGCTACGTTGTCCCGGTCCTTAAAATCGATGGTTTATGTCCATAAATTTGTTTACCGTGTCATACCAGTCCCTAAACATATAAATCACCCTTTTAGGTTTTCAAAATTGTTCGTCTATATCAAGTCTCTGAACTCGCTAATCACCTATTTAAGTACTCAATCTCTATTCGCATCTCAGTGGCTCTAGGACCTTAATATAGATCGACGATATAAGGAGGTGATTTACGAGTTTAGGGATCAGGATGACATAACTGAACAATTTTAAGAACGAGTGATTTGTGAGTTTAGGGGTCGGAATGACATGGACGAATAAGTTTGAGGACCTAAACACACGATTTGTGAGTTTATAGACTAGCACTACTACAAAAAGCATTTGTAGCAACACCTCCTTTTTTTTAGGGGTGCCTTAATTTAAAACCGCCTCTACAAATGTTGCTTCCCTTGGGAAAAAAATCGGCTATTTGATATTTTATTCTCGAATTTTGAAAATTGCTGGATGGGGATTAGAACCGGCGATGATACCCCTTTCACTGTCGGTCCTAACCACGGGTCGGCGGTGAAGGGTGTATCACCGCCGGCCCAAAACCGGCAGCGGTGGGGTACCCATCACCGCCGACCCTTAACCACCGACCGGCAAAACCGGTGGTAAAGGGGGGTTAAGGACCGACAGTGATGGGGTATGTGTAGTAGTAAGCACTTACCTCGATCAATCGACTCAAGAGGTTATACCACTACCTAAACCACGTGTATCGTTGGTCCTAACGATTTGTCCAATCAGAATCCAAACCAACTAAATTTTCAAAAAAAAAAACCAACTGGACATTCTTTTTTTTTCTTCCTTTTAACCTCTATGAACTTAAACTTTAAATGATTATTTAGAAATACATATGACTTCAAATGAAAATCACTACAAAGCTGTCGAACACTACAATCTTCGTATAACTGTTTTATTCATTAGAGTTGTTTAAATATTTTATGGAAGTATATTATTACTTATATTTTCCGTGGCCTAAATAATGAATGAACCATAGAATTTTTGCATGATGATAATGCTAACCCTTAGAGCGAATAAATTATCATATTAATAGTTTTATACAGTTCTCTTATTTTGCATGGAGCTTTGGACTAATATAGGGCCATGAGCATAACATATATGTGTTAATAGTTTTCTACTGTATATTTGGAATACGTTAATCCCATTAAAATGATTATATTTTCAATATCTGCCGGTCTGAGAATGTGACCAACTAGTAAATATTTGTAGTTTTGTCAGATGCGTTGCGATCGGAGGTGGCCTAGCACTCAATGACACGGGATTTATCTTTGGTTGGGCAATGTGCCTGCGTCGATCGAGGTCGGTCAATGACTTTATTCCCGAGCCCAGTGCTCGAAGTCCGTAGTGGGGTTACAAACGAGAAGGAGAAAGATGGGGTGTGTAAGAGGTCCGGTCGGCTTCGGTGGAAGGGCCGAGAGCGGATCGGAACTAAGCTATGAGCTAAGTGTTCAAACGTGAGCCTAATGTCCGAACTTGACGGTTCTGTGGTTGTGAGCTTATTGGACTACTGAATCTAAGGAACTGAGCCCCCTTCAATCGGGGGTTGCGCATCCCCTTTATAGATGAAGGGATGACTTTACAAGTGAGAGAGAGGGAATGCGGATGCTTCGAGCCTTATTGCCCACGCCAAGAGGATGGGATAATGGTAGGCGCCCACAACACTATTGATGTCACTGTAGAATGTCAGGTGCATGTGGGAGGTTACATTGTCTTCTTCAGGAAGGGTTGATGTCGGTACCCAAAAATACTGCTTGCCCGGAGGCATGTGAGGAGTCTCACCACGTTTACCAGGTATGGTGAATTCTGGCGCCTACAACACTATTGGTGCCCAGAGGCATGTGAGGGGCTTTTTGCCATATGGGAGCTTGACGGCATCTACAATACTGTAGGGATAAATGTCGACGCCTACAATACTGTATATGTCAGGATGGTTGTGGAGCACTGCTCCCGCAGGTGTTCAGGGTATGGTCCCTGTACCATGGTTTGACTTGTGTGCTGCTTTCTCCGTTCATCCCTAGTCCCTTCCGAGCGGGCGTCTCCGGTCGGATGGCTCCAATTGGCTTCAGTTGCGCCAGTCGGAGAAAAGTGGCGAGCAGGGTTCTTACGTACCCCAGTCAGAGAGACACGGGGTCGGAGTCGAAAGTAGGGCTCGAGGCAGGCCTTCCGATCGGAGAGGCCATTCGGAGGCGGCTGGAGCCTAGAGCAAGTGCTCCGGTCAGATAGGTGGGCCGAAGAACTTGACGAGCGGGTGTTGCTCTTCTTAGGCCAGGCCTTCCGGTTGGATGCTGGGCCGTCCCTTTGCCCTGTTGTTTTTAGACTCTTGGGTCGAACCTTGGCGTGGAAGCCGGTCCCCGAGGGACACTGGGTTTATAAACCCGATAGGAGCCCCCGAGCCCCCGGGTGATTCGGGCAGAATAGTCCGGGGGATTTTTGTTTTGCCTGCGGGTGCGCGCGAGCGCACCCATGGGTGTAGCCCTCGAGCCCCCGGGCGGTTCGGGCAGAACCGGCTGGGGGGTTTTCTGTATTGCCATTGGGAGAGGTTTTTGTTCGGCGGGTGTAGCCCCCGAGCCCCCGGGTGGTTCGGGCAGAACCGGCTGGGGGGTGTTTGTTTTAGCGGGCGTGTGTGCGTGTTTTTAGTTTGAGATGGATTTTTTGTTCTTACCAAGGTGTCATTGTGCAGCCGAGGCATTTTTAGGCGTGGGGATTGGATTGAGACAGAACCTATTGATCCCGGTGTCGGCGCGCGCTGGGGATCGGGCGAGGGAGTTTTTAGTTTTGAGACAGACCTTGGCGTCGGTGTGCACCATGAATGGAGACAACTTAGTTTGGATGCGACAGAGCTCACTGATCTTTGGCGTCGATGCGCGCCGTGGGATCGGGTGAGGCGGAGTCGCGAGTAGACCTAGGTGTCGGTGCGCGCCGTGGGATCAGGCGAGGTGGAATCACGAGTAGACCCAGGCGTCGGTGCGTGCCGTGGATCAAGAGAGTTAGTTTCAGTTAGTGAATCCATTACGCGAGTTTGGAGTCACGGTCCCAAGAGCCGTAGCCGGATGTCGCCGATCCTGTCGACGCGAGTTCGGGGTCACGGTCCCAAGAGCCGTAGCCGGATGTCTCCTATCCCGTCGATGCGAGTTTGGGGTCATGGTCCCAAGAGCCATAGCTAGATGTCTCCTATCCCGTTGATGCGAGTTCGGGGTCGCGGCCCCAAGAGCCGTAGCCGGATGTCGTTGATCCTGTCGACGCGAGTTCGGGGTCGCGGTCCCAGGGTTTTTTTGGAGTGTAGTCGGAAGTGAAGCCATTACGAAAACATTGTTAGTTTAGTTAAAGATCAGACGAGGCGGTGCTCGCGGGTCCTGGCATCGTTGCGCACCGTGGACCAGGCGAGTCGTAGTTGTGGATCTGGCGAGTTTGAGGTCGCCGTCCTTGGCATTTTTCTTGAGCCCCCGAGCCCTTTTGGGCCTTCGTAGGGGTCGATGTGAGTTTATGTGTGTTACCTCATCTGGTTCCTCACAAACCAGGGGGCTGAGTTTCGTCGCCTGTCCCGATCGCTCGGGCTCGAAGACTAGCTCGGTGAGTTCGCTAACGGGTGTGATCGAGCGGAATCTGGGTCCGTCGTTTGTGACAGGGTCGACATAGCCCTCTTGTGACATTCCACTACTCCTTTACCTGCAACCCGACAGATGCCTAGGTCATTCCGGAGACCAACCTAGGTGGCCTTTCGGCCTCCCCTCGATGGAGATTCTGTGGGCTTGGCGAGAGGTTCAGGATCGAACGAGAAGGTTGAGATGACCCGGTCTGCCAGACCAGGCTAGGGCCGCACAGTGCTCATCTACAGTTTTCTCCCCTAGCTCTGTTGGTTACTCATGTCGAATGAGGCAACCACCGCTTCGTGACGCAACACGGA